ACCCAAAACTCCTTTCTAATACGTCTACTTTATAGCGAACGGACGGAAGAGAATCCGTTCACGACCGCGGTCCCTTCTTAGATTTAACGTAGTTCACAAATTCACCGTTCTCATAACGTAGAGGGCAGCAGAAAATTCCTGACTTTTTACACTATCGGTATTTCAGAACATGAGACACGAGGTCCCATAAGATGATAGGTCTATCCTATACCTAGTCGGTGGTACAAGGGTGCAACAAAAATGTTGCTCAACCCGGAAATAGGAGACTCAGGGATGAATTGGAATAACTTTTTCCTCGGCAAAAATGTAATATGAGGCTTCATTACCGAGATATTAACGGAAAACTACGACCAATCAGAGCGCGAGATTCCCAGCAGAGTTCCCTCGCCAGCGGTGGCTATGCGCTGCGCTTGTACTGTGGGGCTCCGAACAAGTAAGTCGGCATGCATCATAGGAAACTGTGTATAATAGCAAATAAAAAAAACGTATAAAATAAAATCATACTTTTTATCATCTGCCGATTGTTATTTAAAGAGATTAATGAATGAAGCATTAAATGTAGGAAAATTATGTGTAACGTAAAAAGACGAAGGCACATTTACTTTTTTTAACAGAATGGAAACTAATAATTATTTGTAGAGAGTCCTTTTCAAATAACGTATTAACGAAAAGGTAATGTAGCAAAGAATGAACGAGAAGTGATCGTAGTTCGGTATTGGCATAAAAATTCGTAGTTTAATAACGGGCAACAATGTTACTAATAATGAATAAGTTTCTTCAAAAAGCCGGAAGAAAAATTTAGGTACAGAAACTTGCAGAATTATCGCCGGAAATAAGTCATAGCTTGCGTTAAATTAAAAAAATAATAATCAGCAGTAAATTGATTAGAACTCACCCTTTCGGAAATTCACCTGCAGCTTGCAGACCTGTGACACTAGGTCATTGGACCGATCCTGGTCATCGACGGCCGAAACGGTTTATGGTAGGGGATCGCCCTGTTCGCAGGTGATCGCAGGTATACCTCACCAGTCGAAGTTAAGGATTGTAACGTCAAGTACGTCCGGGTTATTCCATCGAATATGTATTCACTTCACTGCACGACCACTAACACTGATCACCCGACACAATCACTTAATATATTTTTAATCCAACGTGTTATTCCTACGTTAGGAAATTTGGTGGCCTCGATTGTTTTCGATTTATCAGATGTTTCACGTAGCCAAACGCTTGCACAGTAGCAGGCGCATATCCGTTATTCTGTGCGTACCACCAGAACATTGCGTAATTCTCCCTTGAACTGAACATCTCTGTCACCCGATCACTAACCGACTGACAGACTTTTTCCGAAAAGGCTTCCTCTACCCCCAAACAGTTTCCCATCGGGTCATTCCACGCGAAATCGGACACTTTTTGGAGCACCATTTCGGATTTTGTTAAAATTTGGATATGTTGTAGTTTTTAGCGATATATAAACGTGTCTCGAATTTTGAAAATTTTAAAAATTGTTGATCTTACAGCTGTTTGAAGTTTAGGGTCAACCTTTTTTCAATAAATTATAACTATTGAACTAACAAACTGATCGAAATGAGCTTTGCATGTACTTATAGTAGAGACATAAGAGTATGAAATAAAAATGATTTCAGTTGAAAAAAGATATTTTTGAAACATTTATTTTGCAATTGTTTTAAACAAATGCCCTGTTTTTGCACTAAGGAAATATTTAAAAATTTGAAAAAATGAGGATATAGCCCTGTTTATCCTCTTTAAGGACATATCTTCAAAAATATGGACACTTTAAAATTGGCCAAATGAAAAGTAATTGAAGTGAACGCTGCGTCCAAGCGCACTGGCTCGACCGGTCGAATAATGAATTATCTGTTGAACTAATAAACTTATCAAAATAATTTTTGTGGGTGCTTGCAGTGGAGACATAACAGTACCTAATCAAAAGTATTTCAGTTAGAAAAAAATATTTTTCAACCATTTATTTTGTAATTGTTCTAAACAAATGCAATTTTATAATAGTAGGACCCAATTGAAAAATTGGAAAAAAATTGAGGATGTAGTTCGATTTTTCCTTTTTATGAACAAATTCTAAAAAAACGTGGAGACTTTAAAATTGGCCTTATGACAATTGATTATACTTAACACTGCGTCGAAGCCCATCGATTCGACCGACCGTGCCGTACCGGCTAACCTAGTACCATGTAGTACGATGTGTGTTAGTGGTCGTGCAGTGAAGTGAATACATATTCGGTGGAATAACCCGGACGTACTTGACGTTACAATCCTTAACTTCGGCTGGTGAGGTATACCTGCGATCACCTGCGAACAGGGCGATCCCCTACCACAAACCGTTTCGGCCGTCGATGACCAGGATCGGTTCAGTGACTTAGTGGCACAGATCTGCAAGCTGCAAGTGAATTTCCGAAAGGGTGAGTTCTATTCAATTTATTGTTGATTGATTTTTTTAATTTAACGCAAGCTACATATAACTTTTTCCCGGCAATAATTCTGCAAGTTTCCGTACCTACATTTTACTTCGGGCTTCTTAGATTCTGTTTAAAAAAATAATTGTCTATTCGTCTTTTTACGTTACACATGATCTTTTTAGATTTATGTTTCATTCATTCATCACTTTAAATGACAAACGAAAAATGATAAAAAATTCGATTTAGTATGTTTTTCTTATTTGCTATTATACGCGGTTTTCTGAGATGCATGCCGACTTGCTTGTTCGGGGCTTCATAGTACAAGCGTAGCGCATAGCCACCGCTAGCGCGGGAACTCGGCTGGCAAACTCACGCTCTGATTGGTCGGGGTTTTTCATTAATATCTCATAAACAAAGCCGCAGATAACATTTTCACTAAGGAAAAAGTGGTTTCAAATCATCCCAGCAACCCTTCATTTCCCGGAAGAGAGACATTTTTGAGACACCCTGTATGTATTAGGGTCAATAAACTATATGTGAAAAACAGCGATTTTCCAGTAGCATGTTTGTTATTTAAAATGTATTTTATAGTCCAAAACAATATATGCATCACAGTCATGGTACATATCGTATAATATTACGTACGTATGGAAGGGTTTTAGGGGATGCTCACATTAAAACGAAAGAAACTTTAAATATTTCGTAAAGATATGAGAACTGTAGGGCAAACTCATTTAAGTGTAATACAGTAAAGACTCGATGAGAGTTAAATAGGGAGTTCCTCGTGAGAGTTTCTACTTGATCCCCACCACTGGAGTAGGGGGCCATGGAACCTGTCAAGCGCATAATTTATTACCCCCCCCCCTTTGTTGGCAAGACTTGGGCTTCGGCGGAACAACAGATTTGTAAGGTGTTGAAAACGTATTCTTTACTGTAGACGGTATGTTTTCCCGTGCTTCTCTTCCAGTACATAATTCTTTCAGATTTCGTAAGACTTCTATTTTTAGTCTTCGAACTCTAATGAAAGATATATTTTTATTTAATTATTTTTTTTTATAAAACACTATAAATTTGTATAAAGATCCGCAACCTAATTATAATGTATTGACAAGGTAATAAATAATAAATGCACTTAATGTTTCGATATTGGCTGTGTATTTGTATTCAAATCATAAAGGATTAGAAGTTTAGTCTATGTGGGTATTGACTGCTTCTCAAGCCAAACATAGCAGACAGATAAGTGAATAACAACTTCTTTTCTTTGTTCCGTTTGATGGCAGAAATTACAAATTTATCCACAGCTTTCTGGTCAACTTTCCTCTGATCACTTGCTTTATACTCATCCTTCTTCTTGGTGAAGATGTCACCTTCTTCTTTCTTTGCGCGTTTTTCGCGTTTTCTCTTGAAGTAATCATCGTCAACATTTTTGGGTAGACGCATACCCGAAATGTTGATTTGGGTGGAGGTAGCAATCACATAATTCTGACTAACTCTTCTAAGGGGGCAGCCGTTAATTAAGAATGGGCCTGTTATATAAAAAACATTCAATTTAACATTTCAATTCAATTTCACATTTCTTAATTGCTTATTTATTAATTTAAAAAGTTCATATGCTAAACTCACCAGTAATTAAAAGTAAGCCACTCTTGAGCTGCTTTAAGAAGACAACTCGTTTTCCTTTATGAGCACCTGCAAGCAAGATGCAAATTGTTCCTGGTTTCAGAGATGGCCTTAAATAACGACGGTGATCACGAAAGCATTTCTTGGCATGGTGTACAGTGACTGGGTCTGCAGTTGGGTAGTTAGCACGTCTTTTCTTCAGTAATACAATACGTTTTTCACCATTTTTATCACCACTAATTTTCTTCTCAATGGTTACTGGTTTCTTAGGCTTCACCTATTATCAAATGTTTATATAGATAAATATCTGTAAATAAAAATGTAGAAGTATACAGTATTACAAAACATACAGTTTTTGGAGTTTTCTTGCCAATGAATTTGTAAACAGCTTTCTTGTGGAACATGCGAGTACGACTAAATCTGTATACACCATTTCCCAAGTCGTAATTCCTTGGCCTAATACGGCCTTTTCTTCCACCTTTTTTCTCCAAAGAAGCATCTGTCTTCTTCGGAGACTTTGCTGTTGTATCCTTTGAGTCTTTTGTGTCAGACATCTACAAAATAAATATGGTCTATTAATTAAGAAACATGTGTATATAAGACAACAATAATCATATAATCAACCATAATTCAAATAAGAAAAATATAACTGTATACATGAGTTTCGTTATCATAATCTTTTATTAAACATGTTTATCATATTTCATATAGGTTATGTCACGTTTTCTTAAAGTTGAACATATAATGTAAAAAAATTTAAAAACTTCTAAAGACTCAAGGTGGAATAAAACAAGATATCATTTTGATTTAGAAATGAAACAATACATTGAGAATTCATTAACAAGACAACAGAAATGTCAAACTGTATCTCGCAATATTGAATTAGTAAAATTTAATGGATTTATGACATTTAAGAAAAAATATAATGTTCTTCTTAAAGAAGGTGTACGAAATATCTAATATTTAACAAAATTAATTGTTTTCTTTTCATTAAAATAAGAGATTACTTCGATGATATTAGGCCTGTTGATATTATTACTTCTTACCGTAAACCGTGCGGCTAAAAGAGCCTGCGCTGTGTTCCCACCTACAGGGCATACTCTGAAGCTCTGAAGTTCAATTTTCTAAATCGATACACATGTCGATTATTTTCGATAATTGTCGACAATTTAAAATGGAGCATTGTCTAGAAATGTACAGTACATTCACTAAACTTTACGCTTTTACAGTGTACATGTAACACTATATACTTTTAATGAACACTAATGTTAATTAGTATACTGTGGGTTTTATATATACATTACATACCAGAATGTGAAAAAAACAATAAAATAGAAACTTTAATAAAGGGTAATGTTAATTTGCATAAAGTTCCGCATTTCACTAATTACAAATGTAGTAACCTCTTACTAAATTTGCAGGACTCTTTCTTTTTTTATTACAAAATAATTTCCAATTTTTATAAAAACTTTAATAACATTATAATAAACATTATAGTTGACTTTTTATAGTTAATAACATACATCTCTAAGATTGAATGTGTATATGTATTTAATTAACATAAAAGTTTCGCATTTGTTTTATACAAGTGTAAATATAGTTAATATATATATATATATATTTTTTTTTGACTTAAATATAAAATATTTCATTTATTTTAAATTGCTTTTTAGTTCATTTAATAAGATAGAACCTATAACCATTTTCTCACAATTTACACAGATTTCCAAAGATTCAGTCTCTGCAATCTTTATTGTCACTAATACCAATGATTTGGAAGCTAGAGTATGTGCAGCAAATCTGTAAACAAAATAAACAAGTATAGCGATAGTATAACATTGTGTTGTTTATACACAATCATCAAATTTTAAATATCACTCACCTGATCTCTTCGTCGGTACTAGATATCATTGCAACATTTGCAGTTTCATAGATCATTTGAGAAATATTCTTTTTATTTTCTTTGTATTGCACTTTTGCTGCGTGTTCATTCATTCCCTTCAATTTCGCTCTTTCAGAAATAAATGTATTTTCAGGCAGGAGTACCGCCCGTATTATTTCTCCAATTGGCGCTTTAATAATTACAGGGCACGAATAAGTTTCCTCATCAATTGTAAAGTTTATATTAAAGTTTGCTGGCTGTGTGGAGTCATTAAAATTGATGCCCAATGTAGAGGATAAACTAGAGTTTGTTTCCAATAGTGGTATTTGTGTAAAGTCATGGATAAGCATTCCGTTTGGTAGATTCTAAAAATAAACATTTGTCAGAAATATATTAATTGAACTTTTAATACACTGAACCTCATACCTTTGCTCCCATTTGAATCTCTTTAATAGACTCCGTACCTTCGTTGGAAAATGTTAATTCAATGGTAACTAAATGAGCGCTTACTAAATGCTGTGATCTTGTAAACCGATACTCAATTTTTAAACCATGACCCGTAATACTATTTAACAAGTCAGTCTTTTTTATTGGAATAAATGAAGATGATACTTCTCTCACTTCATTTGTAGTATTTGCACTCATCGGAGTGAGAAGACCTCCCGAGTTGAATTGCATCACAAGTGTCTTGGGAATAACTATATACAATATGTACATTATATATCTACATTAATATGTAATACATACTTCAATTCATGTTTTTCTACCTTTCATTTTTAATACTATATCTTACCGTCGTCTAGATCTAGGAGGAGATCAATGTTACTTTTTGGTGTTTCTTTCGTGTCTTGTTTCGAAACTTTGTACTTCTCCTCCTCACTCTCTTCGCATTCTTCAGAAGACTCTTCTGAATCTGATTCTTCACTTTGAGATTCGTTATTAGATTCATCAGAGTCTTTAACAGTTCTCTTTTTATCGCTATCATTTTCAGATTTATTGGAGCTGGATGTATATTCAGATGAATCGCTATCTTCATCCGCAGAATCGTTTGATGAAGTGTCCGATGATTCATTTTCGTTATCCAATTCTGAAATTGCACAATGTTTTCAAGTAAAAACATTATTACTGCGATATTAATGCTCCTAAAATTTACCTTCTGCTGGAATACTCTCGTCATCGCTATAAAAAGGCTTATCTTTTTCTTTTCCCTTCTTGTCCTTTTTATCTTTTCTGCAATATTCTTCTCTTATATCCCTCATACTACCACTAGCAACATCTCTAACAGATGGATCTGGAGCCAAGTCAGGAAAAGATGGTAATGGACGGTAACCAGCACATGGCATGTCCAAGTAGTGCGACAATGTGCCCAATTGAAATTCAGAGTTTTTAAATCTGGATGATAAAGTCGGTGCAGGTTTTGGAGCTAGGAATATTTTTTTTGCAAGTTGTGGAAGTTTTTTTTCCGGATCATCCTCATCGAGAATGAAACGTCTCAAGAAACGAGTACGATCCCTAATATCATAATTCTGGTCATATTTCGCAAGTTGAAAAACGTATTCACAAAATGGTTTAGTTTGTGTAGGATTGTTTAGGCACAGCTTCACGGCTAAGTTTAAAATCTGTAGCTTCACTATATCTTGCTCAATCACGAAATTTTTAGCCATTTTCCTAAGAACATCCGGCGCTATCTTGGGTACTCTGTCTGAATATTCTCCGAGGAGCCACAAAATCGATGCCCTAGCTTGTGGTATAGTGATGAAGTCCATTAACTTAGCCATATGGGCTATTATATTTTTATGCTCGTTTGGCTGCGTTTGTAAGAGTTTCTTTATAACAACAACACTTTCTGCTACAACAGTCTCTGAAGAAGAAGAACACGAAAAACATGATAATTGCGTAAGTACTTCAGAGTAATTATCTATGAGGTGTGACAATAAACTTTCCAGATTAATTCATTTTTAAATTTTATTTTGGAAATTAAACAGATGTGAGGCCATCGCCTTCAAAATCGTCCCCTTAAAACTTTAGATACGCATTCTAACGTCGGATCCATTGATCATAAGATTTCTGGTATTTATTACCTTATGAGGTGTGACAATAATGTTTTGAGAATAATTCTGTTTCTGTCAAAATAACAATAATGTGAACCGTTACGTCCATTTTGAGGGAAACAATATATACAATTACGTCCACTTTAAGGGAAACAAAATTATTGCCAAAACTTTATCATCACACTTCGTAATGTGATGCAGTAATGCTGATGCTCTAATGCGTGTGTAAATTTTTAAGGGGTCTACTTTGAAGGTGATGGCCTCACATCTGTTTCGTTTCCCAAACAAAATTTTTAAATGAATTCCTCTCAAATACTTACCATCTCTGTTACTCAATAATGAAACCAATCCATTCAGACAGGTGTCAGTTACCTCCTTTATATTACTTGCACATCTACCAATTGCCTGTATACTTGCTCCTACAAATTCCTTGTCACTACTAGAGATATATGTTTGAAATTCTCTTAATATGACCCCAATGCTAGTTTCAGTTGCCAAGTTAGTCAGAATATCCAACTTTAGAAGCTTTATATGTGTAGGATCCGAAGTTCTTACAAAGAACGACTTAAGAAAAGGTTCAAACATCCCCTATACGAAAGTTAAATAAAATGTTATCTTGTGTAGAAATTTGTTTAGCCATTTGATTAAAAAATACTGTTATATAGTACATTATATCAGTACTTACATTACCTTTCTGGTAATTGATATGCTAGCTATGCAATGAAGAACTACACTCTGAACTTCTCTGTGCCCTCTTAATAATCTAATTAGTGCTTTAGCAGCAGTGATTACTTCGCTTCGTGGTGCTGTGTGATGATACAATTGAGACACTGCCATTACAACGGAAGCATTTCTACTTTGTAAAAGAGGTTTCGTGTTTCTTAATAATAACCGATGATCAGGGTCTAACGATAATTTTGGTTTCTTTGTATTTGACGAATCCGAATCAGAATCATAAAATGGCCGATTTTCATCTTCTTCTGTGTTCTATAAAAATCATTTTTAAAAGATATAAAATCTTGCTTGTACTTCATTTCCTGAAATTTGGTGAAATTATACATACATCTACGTTTGGATTAACAAATTGAGTTCTTGCATATCTTGTGAGCATATTGACTATAACAACTTGGCCCCACTCGTCAACATCTACTAACAAGTTACACAGTTTCCTGTAGTTTTTGTGTATTAAGTCTATCCTTTCAGGACAAACCTCTTCAAAGGCCATTACCGCTGAACCCACAACTAAAGTTGTCTTATCAGAAAGCAGCTTCTCTAAAACACTGATCAGTTCCTCTTTCTGCTCGGAATCCAGTGAATAGAGTTTAGGAATAGCATGTGCTGCAGTTTTCCGAACGTATGGTGACATATCACTAGCTGAATCTTTAATAGCAAGCATCACGATAGGAACAATCATTGATACGCGTATGCTAGAAAGTACCCTCAAAGCACTGGCTCTTATTAATTGATTAGGATCTTTTAAAGCGCGCTGGAATGTAGAGATCGATAACAATGCAAGATCCTGTTGATCCTCTGCGTAACGGACTAAGTAAACATAAACTAGTTTCTTCACTTCTATGTTCTTTGATACAACATTCTTGACTACAGCTGGAAATAATTCCGATGCATCCCTTCCTTTTGCTATCATCTGTAACACATATTTCATTTTACTTATCCACTTTTCAAATAGGAGCACAATAATAATACAGATTTATTACCCCAATTATACGTTTCATAGCTTCCAGTTTAAGTCCATCTTTATTACTATCCAACATTTGTTTCAAATCTTCATGCCTAATTTAAGACACATATTTTTAAAGTATTTAACCATATATCATATATTAACACACTTTATTAAAATAGATCATCAAGTTTACTATACAAAACTATAATATAAAGAATTTAGTAATATTAAAGGAAGAATACAAATCTAAATATTTTGTTTAAGACTTGTGTACTTATTTCAAAACATTTAAGTATAATTGGAGGTAATAACAGAGTGATGTAGTAATATTCTCAGAATTAGTCTAAACACGAAACTAATTTAATAACAAGAACATGCTTTGTACAGTACAGAAGTAAGTATCAGATTCTTGCATCCAAATCCAAACCTTTGTAAATAACTCTGTTAGGATACTCCAAATATACTTATGACACATTCTAAGATGAGCTTTAGAACCATGCATTAGGTACTAAATAAGATTACTGTGATTTTATATTTAATAAACAGTATAATTTTCTATTATTTAATAAACATTAATAGTATCAATAGAACGTTTGGTCTATTTATTAAGTCATTCCATAAGTTATATAGATTTTCTGATAGTTGACTTTTAAACAGTATAGTCTGACATGATTATTACTTATCTGCTAATGTATATATTATTTGAAACACAGCTGTTCGGACAATGTTATATAAAAAATTCACAAATATAGATCAAATATTTCAGTTACACCAAAATATTCAGTGCAATCCTTAAAATAAATGTGATCAATGAAGATATTTAGCATATTATGTTGTATGAGTTTAACGAAAGTATTAAAGCAACTACAACAATAAACAATATTTCCCAGGAGTATACAGAAATTATTAGAGTAAAATCAGGGCTAAAGACTAAAAAAGTATCACATCTACCTCAAACGTAAATCTCTAGAAAATTAAATTGTTTCAATTGAATAAAATTACATTTTTAGAAAGTTATAATTCCTTGACGTTTGTACTAAGAAACCCTACAAAGGTCTACCACTAACTAACAAAAACATGTTTTACGAATAAGATATGGGTTATTAAAATAGCGAAGGTGATGATTTTAATATTTACTTTTTATAATCTGAATGAAAAAATCCTCCAGAAGCAGGATCCGTTGCGAGTTCAGGATCTGTGGTATTTGACGGTCTGTCATTGCTGTAAGAACCTCCGTTATTTGACAATGAATTCGCAGCGGCGGTCAACATTTTCTTAATTCTTAATTAACACCAATTAATTCTAATACAGTTTAACTGTAATTCACAGAACTCCTTAAATATTGATAGTAAGATGTTTCTTCCGAAGATTAGCACATATCCATCTTGTTTAGATCCATTTAGATGCAACCACGGATTACAAATTACAACGGATGCAACTTACTCAGCATAGACATATATAATAGACTGCGCGGTCTTATGGTAGGGATGAAGCGAGACCGAAGGACAGAAATAGCGCTGGAGTACCTCTCTTCTTGCTCGCACATCGAAAAGGGAGGGGTGAAGCGACTGGATGGCAATTATAGACATATGTCTATGGAAGGAATGCTCAGGAATGCTGCTGCACACATGTAATGACTGCGTTCAGAAGACACACCGTTGCGCAACGGTTAAATGATTTCACTAAATTTAACTCGAATGACTCTGAACGCTACACCCTATTGGGTGACCAGTAACAAATCTAGTGAAATCACTCAACGGTGCGCAACGATTGTGTCTTCTGAACGCAGCCAACTCCAGTACAGCCGTAGGAGAAGACCCCAACAACAGACCCACTAGAAAGAGAGGAAAGTTACTCCAGTTATTGATCTCTTTCTAGTGCCGACTTCATCCCTAACATAAGACCACGCAGTCTATTATGTATGTTTATGTCACAGGTCACAGCCTAACCAAGCAGTATGTAGATTGATGTAATTGGATGTAATGTAGATGTAGTGCGGGAACCACGTGCGACTCAGTGCGGTTCAGAACTTCTGAGCCCAACTGCTGATAAGAATCACTGATACTGCTGGAGTGCTGGCGCACGACACTGATGTTTACATACAATATAGTGTCTGTGAGAGCTAAATATAATTGTCATCAATTTTGATCAATTGTCATAGACGAGGATTGACGAGGACGTCGTTTATGGTTCTGTACTGAATAACAAAGTGTCGATTAATGATTTTATCGTACTTGTACAATATTCTAAAGTTTAAAAAATGGGAAATATTTTTCTTTGTGACAGTTTTTGTCGGCTTAAAATGGTCGAAATTTATGACGTTCCAACCAGATGTGAATCACTTAACAGAATTACATAAATGTCCGGCATGTTATGGAACTTCTGCGTGTGATTATATTCACGAAGTGGATATAACACCGTATGATTTATATTCAATGTTTTCTTACTTCCTTGGCGTAAAAAATGTTTTTTTCAGTGTTTTGAACAACAATAAAGTCATATTAAAAAAGTTGGCACATTCGTCCGAATTAAACGAATTTGATCGAATGCTTTGCAGAGACAAACATTTGTCCTGTATTTGTACAAAGAATTTAAAAGAAGTAACAAATGAAATCGACAATGTAGACTTTCATGACCTCATTAAACAAGAAGTCACTTTGGATTTTGCAAAAGATAACTTTAGCCGTTTAAGAATATGCCCCAATGTGCAACATTTAAACAGCCTTTTACAACGTATATATCATAACAATAAAGATGTTGATAAAAGAACACTTGACATTAATATTTGGACATTAATAGTTCTTAATCCTGAGCCCTTACTTCTTCAGGTATTACATTAAGATTAAGTCATTTAAGTAACCCACCTACAAAACTAGAAGAGCATGATATTTTATAATAAAATTTGACATATTTAATCTTTGTTCATAGATATTGTCTGCTAATGAAAATTGGCCAGTACCAAAATATTTAGGTGCATGTGGACGCATCATAGTTGAGGAGTATGTTGGATTACCACTGACAACTTATTATAATAAACCATGGTTACTAAGAGCTAAAATAGTTTCAAGCCTTTTGAATGCTGCTCAAATGTTTACTTATGAGAACAATAACTTTGGCTTTTATTTGACTGATGTATCAGCTGACAATATTGCAGTCGATTCAAATAATAATGCAAAGTTTATAGATTTAGAAAATGTCATAGTTGTTGATAAAAATGTTAGGTCTGAAGGTAACAGCATTCTCCATCTGAGATCAATCTACAGTTCTAGTATTTACAAAATTAATTTTAATGATCTCTTTCTTTCTCTTATTTAGAGAGTTCAAAAACTTGGAATCAGTTACATGAAAATACTGAAAATTTTACATGCTCAGGATGCCTAATCTTTTCATCTGTAGATATATGTAATCATAAAATTAGCGATCATAATTATTATGCAATATGCAAGGTTAGTTATTACTGTAAAAAAACTCACAAAGTAATTATTGATAGAGTTAATGCTTTACTCGAAAAACATTCTATACTCTCTCAGTATAATTTTATATTTTCAGATGTTATTTGCATCTCATACAACTGGTAACACTTTACCTGATGGTTTTTTGCATGACATTCCAGCAGGTATACTGCAAACATATCCGAATATACTAAATTTAATGCAACAATGTATTACTCCTGTGAGACCATCTACCAGAATAATTGCTGGAATGCAGCTTAAACAATTATTAGATACTATAGTTGAGAATAAAACTACAAATATAAATAAATTAGACAATATTTATTATTAATATTACATTGCATCGCAGTAAAAAATATTTACAACATAATAGTACAAAAATTTGATACAATGTAAAAAATATTTCTTCTATATACATATTATTATACAATTTTTAACGAGTTCTTATATTCTCAGTTACTATAGAATAGTTGGTAAAAAATGTTATATATAATAAATTTTCCGTTTGTATGTTTTGAAGAAGACAGCATAATATTTGAGTTCTACATGTAGTATCCTATAATGTTTTTGTTTGTTCTTGTTTCACGAGTTCTTTGAATTTTAAAACTTCCTAACTTTTCTTTTCTAACATTTCATGTACCTTATAATACTGTTTGTTAAAATTATAATCAAACTCATAAAAAATTTTGTTTAAATAAATATATACAATTATATTTAAGAAATGTATGATCGAATTATACAATATAAAATTAAAGAAAAATGGATTTAAAACCTTATAGATTTTTGGACATAAGAATGCATGCTATAAAATTTTGAAATATTTTGTAATTTTTTTGAAAAAAATGATACTATACTTGCCAATGAAGTTGTAAATCCGCTTAATTAAAAATTTTATGTCATACTGGTGTACTATTTTTAGTAATTTGTGCTTCTAACATTGATATCCTCTGTTGTAACGTCTGTATTGTATTATCTTTTTCCGCAATTTCGCTTCTTAATTGAGTTATTGTCACATCCTTGTCCTCGCTTAAGTCTTGTAACAACTGACTCGTCGATGGTCGTTTCTTAGGATCTACTTGTACCAATTGACTTACTATATGTGCCTACAGAAAAAAAATTTGCTGTTTTTATTGACATATTGGTTTGTTTTTTTACTGTTAAGTATTATTTTAAGAGTATACCCATTTAGGATAAGTAGCAGTTAGTGTTGTTGGTATATGACCTCTTTTTAAACTAGTAATTATTTCCACCCGTTCCATATCAGTTTTCGTATGCACTAACAGTTCTAGAAGTACTATTCCTAAACTGTATACATCGCTCTGAAAGGATACAGATTAGTTCAAAATATACTTAAAAAATGATGTAATATTCAACATGTAAAGCAGTACTTTGGGATCACATTTTCCCACTAATTGTTCTGGTGCAGCATACATCTGTGTACCAAGAATGGAATGATGATTTTCTCTTTGCAATGGGCAAGCTAATCCGAAATCACCTAACTGTATTTGAAGATGACTAGACATCGAAATAAATATATTGCTTGGCTGAAATAAAAAAATTTTTATGAGCATATTATCCATTCAAGTGTTTCCACTTATATTATTACCTTTATATCATGATGTACAATTCCGCGAGAGTGTATGTAATCCAAACCATAAAGAATTTGTGTTAATACTGCAATGATCATTGTCTGCGAAGTAAGCTCATTCCTTTCATTTAGCCATTGTTGAAGTGTCTTTTCACATAGAGTCATTTGAATATATAATGTCACATATTTTTTGTTCTTTGAATAAAAGAATTTAAATGAACATATTAAAAGTTAATATCTTTTTGTTAAAAATATTGTAAACAATTCACACAAACCATTTGAGGAATATATGGGCAAAGTATATTATTACTGTAAGATTCATCACACGATTCGCTACTATCTGTACAATTTGTATTACTTTCTGCTTTATTATCTACGCTATTGCTATCACTTTTAAAAGAAATACTATTCGAATTAGTTTTTTCAGCACTCCCTTCAGCAGCATTTCCTTCCATTACTCGCTGTCCTATAGTATTAATTGAAGTATTTAGTTCATGAAACCGTTTGTTAATAATGTCATAAATAAATTCACAATTTTCTACTCTTGTATGTATTGTTTCGTTTTGTGTAGTCATGGTATGAATATACATACCAAATTTGTGGCTTGTTTTTTTACTATAACGTAATAACGCATCCTGTTCGTCGTTTTTTTTAATACTCTGACTGCTCCAACTATTACTATAGTTTGATTGACTCTGTGCACTAAAACTCTGATTTCTACACGAGGTAGACCTATATTTTTTTTTACCATTTGAGGAACCTTCGTTTTGAGAATGGCTAGATGCTGGTAAACTTGGTATAAAGGTTGATGGTAAAGTTGGTTCAATCCATGCACCTTTGTAAGAAACTATATTGGTATGATTTAGTTTAGCAAGAGTTTTCACTTCTTCAAGATGTTGCATAATACTCTTCACTCGACCAGATCGTACTATTATCTTTTTAACTGCATATTCAGTACCATCCAGGCAATGTAAGGCTTTAAAGACTTGACCAAATCCACCAGCAGCAATAAAATTTATTTCATGAAATTCTCTACGATAGCGGGACCATTCTGTTGTTAAAACTCTACTTAAAATACATGTATAAAGATTAGATCATTGTATAATTATATATATATATATATATATATATATATATATATATATATATATGTATATATATAATTCATTCTAAATACTGTACCTAGGAACCTGTAGTACACTTTCACAACCATTTGCTGTACGTGCAACTGTAACCAAATGATATAACGCACGTTGATATTGTCCCCTTAATGATTCAAATTCCATCATATTGTATGAACTATCAATTAATTTCAATTCATGAAGTCTATCACAGATAGCTAAAAGCAAATATTGTAATATCATAAAGTTGACTAATACTAATTCATAATCTACTGTTGGAGTTTTTACTATTTTATAAATTATGACCATGCTATAAAATTCTGAATGTAAATGTAATGTTGATTTACATTACTCAACATTATCAAAATTTTACAAATAATTGTTTTTAGAAATCTTTGATTTCAAAATTTAACAGGCATAATAATATACTGATATATTAAAAAAAAGTATAAATTTTTTTAAATATTACCAAAATATAATTTATTTCTGCGAACAGTATCACCTTCAAACAATGTACAAAGTTGCTGTATAAGTGATTCGATTAAGAGACTGACAGAAGGTGTAACTAGGCTCACAACTTGTCCACTGTTGTGACTACTATCATTGTCCACACATATTGTAGTTTTTGCATCACTGCCTGATGACAATATGAACAGAATAATAAAATCAGTTAGTAGAACCACTATACGAACATAAAAATCTAAATCAGCTTTAGTCAACATTTTGCTATAATTTAATATATATATCTAATTGTTACACAATTTTTGTACTGAGACGGCACTTTTCGAATACTATTTCAGAAACAATTAAATGAAGCAATACAACAATAATATTCGAAATATATGAACTAAAAATATAAAATATCTTTATGTAATCAAATTGTTAAAAAATGTTTTTAAAATTACGCGGGTTTTTTAAGGTTATATTATATACCTGTATCAAATGTCGTCATTGTGGATAATGTATTCCAAGGATTAATTGATGGTGTAGTGTTATCTTCCATTATTAAATCGGCAGCAATTTCCACATTGATACTTCTATTAATAAAATCATAGAAAGTTTGAAGCAGTTTGGAACCCTTCTACGTGACAAAAAGAATTATTCAACCTCTGTTTTACTAGTGATAAAGACCAATAAAACTGCATACCATTGCTGACCATTGCATACGACCACATCACACCACATACAACACATACCACACTGCGTGCAAACTCAGCTTCCGCTAGGGAAAAAATTAGCGGAGGGGGAAGGGCGTTTAGTGAAGTTTGTATCAAATTATTCGGTGTACATACATATAATTAATAAAAAACTTCCATCAAAATATATGATCTTCAATGTGTATGCAGTAGATATTAATGGTTCAAGAAATTACAAAAAAATTACTCTGTTATTACACAACAAATTGAACACTTTTCTTTGCAAAAAAAATTTTTTTTTTTTTTTTTCAGCAGTATGTCTAACGCAAACACTTGGCAAATAATACAAAAACAGAAAAATAGCAGTCACAATAGGGCGCTGAATCTGTCCACTCCTTACATTTTATTTTATTAAAAGAAGAACCTGTAAGTGGACCATTCCCAAATAGCACAAAAACGTCTTATGTACGTCCGATGGGCGTACGTTCCGGACGTTGTGTACATTCGGAGAATGTCCCGAAAAGGTCAGTATGTCCCCGTTAGGTCCTTGTTAAGATTTTTAAATGTCCTAAGCAGGTCATATTTACAAAGTGGAACGTCCTGAGGACGTCCTGTGTCAACATTCTCAGAAACGTTTAAAGAGATTTTAAAAATGCTATGGTAATGTCTTAAAAGCCGTATAAGAAACGTTTTCGAAATGTTTAAAATTGCGGTTAGGTTTCATTCTGTGCAAGGTGACAGGAGTTAGGTTAGGTATTATTATGTGCTCGCCGCCAAAGACGGAGGTAGTCATGTTTCATGGACTGCCTCTGTCGCGGCGGGTCCCCCAGGTCTGGGTCCGCGTGGGAGACGCCTGTGTCCGGGTCGAGGGACGTATGAAGTACCTCAGCCTCGACCTGGACAGCCGCTGGCGCTTCGAAGGACACTTCGACCGTCTGGTCCCCCGGATTGAGGGCGTGGCGACCCTGTTGGGTCGTCTGATGCCCAATCTCGGGGGGCCGGAGGAGAGGGTCCGCCGCCTCTACATGGGGGTGGTGCGAGCGATGGCCCTATACGGGTCACCCGTGTGGGCCCGCGACCTGATGACCCGCCGGCGGGGCCGGCAGCTACTGCGGCGCATTCAGCGC